CAACTTGGCGAGACCTTGTCTCTACAATAAATCAAAAATTAGCCAGGTGTGGTAGTGCACACCTGTAGTTCTGGCTACTTGGAAGGCTGAGGCAGAAGGATTGCCAGAGCTCAGCAGATCAATGCTGGGGTGGCCATGAGTGTGCCACTACACTCCAGCCTGGGTGACAGAGTGAGATTCCAACTAAAAAACAAAAAACACATTTCTATCAATAGGTTGGATCACCCTGGTGTGATGGATCATGCTTGTAATCCAGAGCTTTGGGAGGCTGAGGGAGGAGGATTGCTTAAGGCCAGGAGTTTGAGACCAGCCTGGGTAACAAAGCAAGTTCCCACCTCTACAAAAAATAAAAAAAAAATTAGCTGGGCATGGTGATGCGTGCCTGTAATCCCAGCCACTTGGGAGGCTGAGGCAGGCAGATTGCCTGAGCCCAGGAGGTTGAGGCTTTGGTGAGTCATGATCATGCCACTGCTCTCCAGTCCAGGTAACAGAGTGAAATGTTGACTCAAAAAAAAAAAGGCTGGATCAGTGATGTCAATATGTAGCACTGGCTGACATTGTGATATTGTGGATGCTCCCCCAGCCCCTTCTCCTTGAGTCTAGATACAGCTTCCAATTAGGCAGCCGTTGGAGCTGACCCATAACATGAGACTTGCTGTTTCTTTCTTTCTTTCCTTTTTTTTTTTTTTTTGAGTCGGAGTCTCACTCTGTTGCCCAGACTGGAGTGCAGTGGCATGCTCCCGACCACTGCAGCCTCGACCTGGGCTCCGGTAATCCTTCTGTCTCAGCCTTCCAAGGAGCCGGAACTACAGGTGTGTGCTAGCACACCCAGCTAATTTTTGATTTATTGTAGAAAAGAGGTCTAGCCAAGTTGCCCAGGTGGGTCTTGAACCCACAGGCTCAGGCAGTCCACTCGCCTTGGCCTCCCAAAGTGCTGGGTTTATAGGTTGAGCCACCGATCCTGGCCGACTTGCTGTTTTCTGAGCTGGAAGTAAAATTTTTAGGCACAGCCTGAAGTTTCCACCCCTCTAAGCCAATGCTGCCCTTTCCCAGCTCTCTGAACTGCAATCTCATTTTTGTGTCCATCGCAGCAGAGGCCAGGGTGGTGCTAAGCTCTTCCACTGCTGCTTTTGTTAGTCCACTACTCTTCCAAGCTGATGTTTTCTCCCTAGAAAGTTCAATCTTCCCTCCTTAGAACCCGGTGAAAGTGCTGGAATGGGAAACGAGCTCTTCTTAGGTCCTTCTCGGTGTCTGGCTTTCTCGTGCTTTTGGCTGTTGTCAGCACTTCACCCACTTCTGACTTGTCCCCTGGAAAGCTTCCTCTACCACCTTGTGACCTTAAGCGAGTCACAGCTCTGAACTCCTTGGGCTTCATCTGTAAAGTGGAATTGTCTACGGAAGAGCGATCAGAACAATTCATTTCAGTTCAAGAGGTGCATGACAAACTGTTACTATGTTTTAGGCACTGCTGGGTGCTGAAGCAGCATAGAATACCAAGTCCCAGCCCTCCAGGGGATCAGAGTCCAGCAGGACCCAGTACTGTGCTCAGATTGTGAGCGCATGAGTCACATGGAACGGAAGTGTCTCCAAGAATGAGGCATGAAGATGCCGGTGACATGGGGCTCAGGAGACACCTTGGAGAGCAAGGGAGGGCTGCAGGGACAGGTGAGACGGCTGGTGACAGTGGCTTGGCTGGATACACTAGGCCACACTCACCTTCTGTCTTCTCCTCCTGGTTTGGAGCAAGGGCCTGCTGAGAATCTGTTGGAAGCTGTGGACCCTGTCTGTTACAGACTGCACACATAGCATTTGGATGCCACATTAGGGGGTTCTCCAGTAGGATTATCACCCCAGGGGTTGCCCTGCCCTCTAGCAGCCTTCACTCTCTTCTTGGGAACACAGTGCTCTCTTGTACTCTCTGTACTCTCCCCAGCCTCAGTCACTTGCCACCTTTTGTAAATGAGGCTGCTAATTCAGGGAGGCGACCTGCTGCAGTCCTCTGGCTGGGTGATTCAGCAAGTGACTCTTTTTTCCTTTTCAGCTCAAAGGTTGTACCCCTAGGGGCATGAAATCCTTTTAAGAACTGCGTTGTGGGCAACCCCCTTGGGTCCCCTCCCACTGTGGGAGCTTTTCTGTCCTCTTAATAAATCCTGCTTTCTCACTTAAAAAAAAAAAATAAAGAACTGTGTTGTATGCTGGGAGATGTTTAATGTCTATTTTGAATAACTCTGGCCTGGCTTTCCTTTTCTGGGGTCTGGCAGGGCCCTCCTGGTGCACCCCCCAGCCTGGCGCAGCTCTGCCCCTGTGCCCTGGCACAGCCTCTCTGCCGTTGGTGCTCCTGGCTTCCAGCCACACCATCTTGATCAGGTCAAACTGCATTTTCCACCCAAAAATGATTGGTGAACCCTTTATATTTATGCAGTGTTCTGACATATGCAACAAAACCAAACCAAACCCCAAGAAACGATGGTCAAACGAGGAAACTGAGACTCAGAGAGGTGTGCCAAGGTCATCGACTGAATATGCAGAGGAACTCAAACAGCTTTTCTGTCAGCGGCTCGCAGGGTTTGTCCTCTCGTACATGCTGATTCCCTTCCCCAGAGAAGGATTGGTAACTGAATGTCAAGGAGTATCTTTTGGTGAAACCCAGAGCTGGTGACCCGGTTCCTGCATCTGTTTTCTAAAAAGTCTCTGGTGCCCATTTCACACCATTCATTGGCTTATTCAACAACTGCTGAGCACTTTCCCTGCACAGCTAGTGGGAAAGGACCAAAATGTAAATTAGATATGATCCAGAGGCTGGCTTTGCTCTCAGAGACTTTTTTTTTTGGACAGTGACTGTGATCTTTGTCTCCTGCAGAAATGCCAGATAATGCGGCAGCTCTGTTGGGCACTTGCTGTAAACTCCAGATTATTCCCGTGCTGTGTCATTTGGTAAGGAACCTCCCATGTGGGATCTTGGGATGGCTAGGAGTGGGGAAGTGATGGGGGTGTAGACATCTAACTGCTGATAAAACACCTCCATCCACAACTGCGCTTCACGATGGGTGTTTTGTTATTAACCCTACTTTTATACCCACTACACACTCCACCCCAGAGGGAAAGGATTTGTTCACAGAACTTCTTGGTAGGGCCAGGACTCTGACCTTGTCTTCAGACTCCAAATCTCATGCTTTTCCCCTTGTTTGGAGAGAATTTTGGTCAAGGTGTGGCGCCTGACACCATAGTATTTATGGTGGCAAGTCTGTGCTTAGACTAGGCTGATTCAGCTCTGCCTCAGCTTCACCGGGGAGGTATCTGGGACTGATCTGTCCCAAGGAGACACAGTCGCTTTCATCCTCTTTAGGAATATCATTAGCTTGGTGCTCTATTGAAATGTCATTATAAGAACAAGAGTTAGGTAATGATGAACTTAGCCTCAGAGAGTCAAGGTTAAGCTTTTCTTTTTTAAATTACAAACTGGGCCATTAGTAGAAGAAACCACCAGTAGGCTTCCCTGAAATGACCCTGATGGGGCAGCAATTCTAATGTAGCTCTTGCAGGTGTGGCTAGGCCTGGGGCAGAGGAGCAGAGTACATAGAACCAGATTATTTTAAGGTCTGATTCCTAAGGGCCAAGGCCAGTCTGCCTTGCTGACTCAGAGGGGCATATCTCGGGAGCTCTACTGTGAGGTCTGGGAGGCAGGTATTGGGGTAGACTGTTTAGCCAGGACCCTGGTGTTTGGTCCATGTTTACTCTGGGGACACTGAGCAACGCGGTGGGTGCCTTTGTCTTGGCCTAGCAAAGACATCAGAAGACTGTGCCGCATGGCATCCGTCCAAGGAGCCGTTTAGATGTCATTCACAGCTGAAAGCAGATCCCGCAGGCCCAGAGGAACGTGCGTTCTTGTCATTGACTGCAAAAACGGAACTACTTGAATGCGTGCCAGTGTGTGTGTTCTGGGCCAGCTGAGGGTAAAGGCTGGTGGCACAGTTTGGGTATGGAAACAATGCATGTGATTATTCTAATTGTATGCGGTGATGAACAAAACAACAGCTCTGCTGTCAGAGCCCAGCTCCTTCTGCCACAACTGAGTGCTCAGCACTTACCAACTTAGCCCTGCCCGAGTATTTCCAGCCTCATCAACTACATTCAGGAAATGTGTGAAAAAGAGCGTCCTGCCAAGGCCACGGCAGCAAGCTCCTCCTCCAACTGGCTCACACGGAGTTGCCATCTTCCTTGCCCCCAGGTTCTGCTCTGTTGTGTTCTAAGAGCAGCCATTTGACAGCAATGGGGTGCCAGACCGGATGAGTTCTGCTTCTGCACAAAAGCCCACCAGTCATTCCTCCGCCTTTTGGCAACTCCTCCACATAGACAAAGAACTGCTTTTTCTTTAGAGACCTCCCGGGCGTCTTCACACAGCCTCCCTTCAGATTCGCAACAGCTTTTTTTTTTTTTTTTTTTTTTTTTGAGTTGGAGTCTCAAGACAGGGAAGCTCCTGCCTCCTGAAGGAATGTGAGCATCCCGTTTCTTGAAGGGATTTACTTAGAACAGGGCCCAACGTCTGTCTGTAGCCCTGACAGGCCCATGCCACTCTCCAAAGCACAAGCAGCCGCTTGAGGTCTGAGCCGAGTGGTCCCATGAAGCCTGTGGTTACACTGCATTGGTTGTATTTGGTGAATCTAGAAGGTGTCAATTCAGAAGACTGATTCGGAGAATAAACATACAAGTACTTCCACATTCCAGTGAGGGCTACTTTCCAGTCATGTGGACAAGCTGCATATTACTTTCAGTAAGGTCACCAGGTCTCAGAACATTTCTGGGGTTTTTCTTTTGGATTCTCTTCCATTAAAATTCACACATGCTTAATGGGCTTCATTTCTTTTTATTTAAAATTTTACTCTTTACATTATTAGTCTGATCTTGAATGCCTGTTTCAAAATTAAATCTGGCAAATCTGTAATTGCTAAAGATTAAAAAAAAATTACAGCCAGTGGATCAAAACCCTAAAAGCAAATCAAATATTTCAGATGTTTTGAGAAGTTGGAATTAAAGCAGCAGCCAAAGTGACCCCTGTAAAGAACTAATGTTCCTTCAACATGTTGAGCATCTGTGTTCTACAGGGAAGATGGACACAACAGAGAAAGTCCCTGCTCTTATGAGCAGCACAGGGGCTTCATAAGGGGAGACAGACTAAACACTATCAAGCAGCTCATTTCAGAGGTAGTTTGTGAGACAATATGATGGAATATAACCCAGTGGCTGGGTTATGGGTCTGGGGGCAGATGGAGGGAGAGGAGGTTAGGAGAGGCCCTTCCATGTGTCATTTCAGCTGACGATTGAGTGATGAGAAGGGGAGGTCTATAGAAGTCCGGAGCAAGAGTATTCCAGGTGGAAGGGGGAACAAGGGCAAAGGTGCTCACAGAAGGACATGTAATTAAAAC